GGGTTGTGTCCGGAGTGGCACTGCAGCTGTACGACGGCGCTCTGAATGTGTGGGTCACATCAGCTGGATGGCTGTTATGTAAATGTAAGTGACAGGTGAGGCTGGGGAAGGACGGAGGGGTGAGGGGTGGGTTGGGGTGATGCAGAACAACAGAGCGATGAACGTACACTTCCCTTCCACATCCATGATTTACGCTCACAGGACGTGAATATGAGCGGCGGGCATTGTAAACCAGCTTTTACACACATTACACACATTACACACACTCTGCATGGGCACAATACTGCTGTGTGGGCACAATGCCATCATCATTTATTCATCCTCCCATCGTCCTTTATGGAAAACTGCAGATTAAAAGCATCATTCTTTCATGAGGTTGCTGCTTGTTTCAGATCAGTTAATGTATAGAAACATCGACTGTCAGCAGCAGCAGCAGCTGGTTGTCCGACAGCGGCGACTTAAACGCACAGACTGAAATATTTATCTGAACAGATAAATAGAGCAGGTTATAGAGGATGAAAACATGTGAGGACTTTATTCCTGTTAGATTACATGACAGCAACACGGATTATAAAATACTGAAGAATAAACGGATAAAACAACGTCTGAGGTTTGTTTTTACTCAACATGTGACGGCTGACAGTCCCAAAGCAACCGACCTCACTCACACATCTTTGTTTTCTCTTTTAACCTCTGACAACAAATGTTTCCTGTGATTATTGAATTGCAGTAATTGAATTGTATTGAAAACCATTGTTGTTGTTAGCATGGCTGTGCGATCCCACGATGCCTTGGGTCGAGGCCATCGACATATAAAAGATGGTCGTCTCCACTTGAGAAAACATCAGCGTGATAAGAACGACCTAAAATGACAGAAACCATCTTTGGGAAACATTTATTTGATTTAGATTTTTTGTTTGTCCTCCTGCTGACATGGAGGCTTTATGAGCGACACTGCAGTCGGCCACCAGGGGGCGATAGAGAGGGTCTGGATTCACTTTTGGAGAGCTGTCATGTCGTCCTTCTTTACATATGTCATTGTTGTTGTTAGCGAGGCTGTTAGCCGTCCACCGGCAATCCCACAATGCCTTGGGTTAGGGTCTATCAACCGTTCATACACTTCCTGCCACTTTTCATGTTACTAAATGCTAAATCTGTCGAAAAATATTTTTATTTGGCATTTTTCTGTTTTATGTGCCGTTTCATGACCTACACTGTAAAACCAGATAAGTACATTTATCTCAAAACATTGTTGGAACTGACCGTGTATGTAAAAACGCCTAAAAACAACATTTACCCAAAGTAAATTTAAAGCTGTTCTTCAACCATTTGCAGTATATGAATGGTTTTGGTCTCGTTTAAAAGATAACACTCTAAGAAACTGCTGTTCATGGGCATTTATCTATGTGCTCATGTAGATGGACAATAAATCTTACTGGAGTGGATATATTGGACCTTTGGTACTGAAACAGGACTGTTTTTGTTGGATTATTATTATTATTACTGATTCCAGGATTACAATGAGGCTTCTTGGGTGAGTTGGCTCAATTGTATGATTGCTTTCTTGCTAGTTTGAGGCGCCGATTGTGCCTGCTGTTGTGATTGTATCCCAAAAGCGTTTTGATCAATGAATAGACGAGATTCTAAGCTTTCCAATGATGTATGGTATGGGTACATACGAGGGGGGGGCGAGATTATGATCCGGGCCGTTGACATAAGAAAAGGTTCACACAAACTCAGTTTTTTAGGTTAAAGAAAATCTTGATTAAGCTGCTAAATAAAAGTCATTTTAAGTGAGACTAACTTACAGAAACATTCCTGATGAATAACTTTTTACTTGGTGTTTTGTTTTCACTGTACAAATAAAATGTACAAAGTGAAGTTAAATGACTGTATCTGGATTTACAGTGTACAGCCTCTCACTGACAATAATAAATCAATATGTCCACATTATGTTTCTGCACTCACAGAATTTACACTAAAGTTTCTTCTTTCATCCAAATAAACAAAAAGCTCGCGTAGAATAAATAAATAACAGAGATATAAATGTAAAGATTACAGGAGGAATTAATGGATGAATCCGTCTGACCTCCGGCGCTTATAATCAGCATCAGGAACAAACTCTGTCTTCAGGCCCGAACAAATGTGTCCTTGTTGTTCGGGGGAGAGGACGAGTGTTATCGCGGCTCCATCTCCAGCAGCAGCCCGTCAGCAGGCAGCAGATTGGACTGTTTGATGTTGCTCATGTGCAGATAAACCAGACGTCTCGCTGCTTTGTGCCGCTTCGGCTAATCACACGCAGCTAATTAGAGTCTGAATGAGCCGAGGAGGCAAAGAGAGCGGAGGCTCATCAGTGACTGCTAATATTACTGCTAATATTACTGCTAATATTACTATTATTACTGCTAATATTACTGCTAATATTACTATTATTACTGCTAATATTACTGCTATTATTACTGCTAATATTACTATTATTACTGCTAATATTACTGCTAATATTACTGCTAATATTACTATTATTACTGCTAATATTACTGCTAATATTACTGCTAAAATTACTATTATTACTGCTAATATTACTGCTAATATTACTGCTAATATTACTATTATTACTGCTAATATTACTGCTAATATTACTATTATTACTGCTAATATTACTGCTAATATTACTATTATTACTGCTAATATTACTGCTATTATTAATGCTAATATTACTGCTAATATTACTATTATTACTGCTAATATTACTATTATTACTGCTAATATTACTGCTAATATTACTATTATTAATACTAATATCACTATTACTACTGCTTTTACTGCTAATATTAGTATTATTAGTGCTAATATTACTGTTACTTGCTGTATTGTGATAGTGTTTTACTGCCTCCTACTGAACTTCTGTTTACAGTGAAATGTTCCACAGTGACGCTCCTGCTGTTTAGTTACACACAGACTTCACTGTGAACAGTTTTACATTGGGAACTATTACAGACGTCCTCAGCCAGTAACACAGACACTATCACGGTTGGGTGCAATAATGGTTTTAGATATTTGCAACAAACACATCAAACAGCAGCTGCTGGAAGATAACGGAGAACCAGGCGTTCTCCAGAAGAAGTTGATCGTCTTGTTTCCAGCGGATCCACCTACGCTGCCGTTAGCCTGTTTGTCGAGTGCAGATAAATTAATTGGGCAGGGATGCGGATGAAAGAGGGAGATCGCTTTCCTCTCTCTCTTTGTTTTGTCTCAGTAAATTGGCTGGCGAGGAAGTGAATAGAAGGGGATTATCAGCGTCACCATTATTCCTCGTGTGGGCAAACTGTGTAGGAGGGCGGCCATTTTGTGATTAGAAACTGTAGATGTCATTGTGCCTGCTTTCCTTTGGTCCCGATAAAGACGGATAGTGTACATTAATAGATATGTGAATCAATTAATGTAATAGCAACATCGGAAACGAAAGCACCAAAATATAAAATACACTGTAAAACGTTACTGTTAAAGCTCCAGTGTGTAGGAACAGTTTGTAACTCCCTCGCTTCACCCTCGCCGCAAGATATATATTTTCTAAACCGTTGTTGTTGTCATAAGTACTTTCACAAACAATGCAAATATCAAGTCAATGAAGGTATCACCCACTCTGAGAAGAGATCAGGTCACAACTCATGGCGGACCTGTTGACTGTTTGCCGTCATCGTCGTCGCCAAGACAGTCAGTCGGAGCCAGCGGAGGTCACGTACTGCGAGTTGAGCTGCTCTCATTGGCTGCGCAGTCCGTATCAGGAAACAATGGCGACTCGCCTGGTCACACAGGATCTGGTATTAAAATGTGTTTGTGAACAGATCTGAGAAACAGTCAACAACAGAATCTGGATCCATATCTGATCAGCACTGTTCGACAGTTTGATCTGAGTTTGGTTGAGCTGGACGGACTCACTGAGAATGAGCTGTCAATATTTGTGTACGGATAAGACGACACGCTGAAGAGCGGACGAGGAGAGGTAGAAGTGTTACAGTTCTCTGTGAGGATCCTTTCCATAACGCTGTCACACACTAACAATGTGAGTCCGTCAGTAAGAAAACAAACAGTGGACGTACGTCGACGGTGGAAGACTGCAGCGCTCTCACTCAACACCGAACCACAATCAAACCTCAGCAACAAACCTCATAATGCAGGAGCACATACAACAAAGCAGTGACGGGTATCAGTGAATGAATGAGTGAATGAATCAATGAATGAGTGAATGGGATTATTCAGACACATCAACAACAAAACAAACGTTCCAGCAGGTAACCGTCCGCCATTAACAACAAAATACAGAAACAACAACGAAACAGGAAGACAAACTTTGTACAAATGACTTTCCAACTGATAATAAAAATACAAAGAAACACAAACAAACACATAAATCCAAAAAACACAAAACCTAAAGTCCACATTCACGCTCTCCAAGATACAGTTGATCCAGTTCATAAACCAGAATCCATAAACAGCCTGAGGAATTTATCTGTCTCATATTGCTTCAGAAAGACAGAAACATTATGAAAAGGTTTCCTCAGAGCTTCGTCCTCCACACTCGGCATCAGTGTGAGACACTTCCTGTGAGACACAGACAGTCTGACACAGTGAGACTGCTGCAGGGACACCAGGGCCGACCGGTGCTGGCAGGAGAACCTGTTGTCCCCCTTCCTTAAGTCCAGGTTGAAAGATACAGTTATACTTTAAACCAGAACGGCCTGTGCAGCCTTTACTGCTCTTTTTATTCATTGATTTCTTTCATTTACCAAATGAATTGTGTTTTTCCTCCTCACATTATTGAACTGTATTATCTCTGGTGCTCTGGGATTATTGTTCCCCTCAGGTTCCTGTCAATAAAGCTTACTGAATTGAATTTAAATTGAACGAGAGAGAGAGAGAGAGAGAGAGAGAGAGAGAGAGAGAGAGAGAGAGAGAGAGGGCAAAAGGAGAGGGGGGGGGGGGGCAGTTGGTACAGAACCAGTGAACAAACACTCTGACACTCAGAGTCGACGCGGCTGCAGAGCTCTGCGCTCCAACTATGGATGTGTGCTGAGAGGGAACCCCTGAGAGAGAGACAGAGAGACAGACAGAGAGAGAGACAGGCTGAGAGAGAGAGAGACTGGAGCAGACTGCCGGTGGATGTGTGAGTGTGTGGCCGGGCTGCGGTGGATCTGTGCCGGCCCCGCTGTGAATGGGATTACGCCGGTTGTTCCGTGTCTCCTGTCGGTGCTGCTGGAGGAAACATGCGGCTGCAGAGCTTCCCGGTGTCCTCGGTCCTCCTCCCGCTGCTGCTGCTGCCGCTGCTCGGGCTCTGCAGCGGCACAAGTTTCCCAAGTAACATCAACATAGGTGAGTGAGCCCCGCACCCAGGGGCGCCCCGGGACCGGTGCCAGACCCGGCTGCCGGACCCTGCTGGATCTCATTTCTTACTGTATTCCTTTAATATGTGGAAACATTTTCTGCATCCAGATTACAACTCACAGTGTGTAAGATTATATTCACACAATGACGCACTGTGTGAGGATCAATAGAAACCCTCACATAGAACTCATTTATATCAGTTTTATATAATATTTGGACTTTAAATGATTTTTGGAAACCTGACACTCCACCAGCTCTGACAAAAGTGATTCCCTTCACATTCCCTGTAACATTCCCTGCAACATTCCCTGTGATATTTCTGGGATCGTATTATTGTCGTGACTTGTGTTTGTGGATCCCCACTGAGCTCTCCTGTAATAATGCCAGTGGCTGGGATTCCCTCTGTGACTTACAGTGTCTTACTATTCATATATTCATGTTGTGACTTACAGTATTTTGTGTTCCTTGCACTTTGATCTTCCTGCAACATCCAGTAAGAAAATATAAATGATATATATTTAATATAGAATATTCCCCCAACGACAGTTCAGCTGTGTAAAAGTAAAGTCATGTTGTTTTCACCTCGACTGATTTCCTCTAACAGGAATATTGTAGGACTCAGCACCACAGAGTCAGATAGAAACACAGGATTGAGCCTCGATGCAGCCTGATAGTTTTCAGATTCTGGCAGTAGGCTATATGAAGGTATTTTTCATTCATTCATTCATTCAGTTTTTATATAGGTTTATACTGGCTTATTCTGTGAGGAGCACATAGAATATAAAACATTTCCATGTACATACTGAATGCTTTGATCGCTGTATGTGAAGGAATCAGAATGAGAACGATTTCACAACGTAGTAAAACCACCACTTAAAAATAAAATATGACATCAAAGCAAAACATATAAAAATAGAAACAGTATAAACTGACATAATCAAAGTATTTAAGTGTTTAAAGACTTCTCAAATGTTCTATTGCATCTATTGTTTCAGCACAGCGGTAAATGAAGAATTAATATCATGTGGGAAAATAAAACCGGTATACCTGGTTCACCCGGTATATCGCCCAGCAGGAGCGCAGTGGACAGAGTCGTACTATATTCATTGATATATTTGTTTATTTAATTTAACCTGTTAATAAAGTAGTAAAAAATGGAAATACTCAAGTTAGTACCTCAAAATTGTACATAAGTACTTGAGTAAATGTACTTAGTTTCTTTCTCCCACTGGTAAATCCAGAGAACACTGTACTGTTTATAACAGGACATATTATTATATAAATGGAACAGTGTGACCTGTTTAATTCGAATAATTAACATATATGATGATTCTCCACATACAGGCTGGGCGTCACACACTCACTTAAAGCAATCAATCAGTTCTATTTGCTGTATTCAGTATCAATAATGTCACACTGGCACGCCGGATGAATCCTCCATCAGATCTTTTATTCCCATTTGAACCTCGGCTGGTTTCAGCGTGGATCAGTCAGCTGGGGGCTGCAGAGCGTGTCACTCTCCCAATATGAAGTTCTAATGTGATTCATCCGTCGGGGGCCAGACTCCCGCTGCACTCTCCTCTCAGGATTTGGTGCTGATGTGGCATCAAGTTCAGCTAACCTGCATTACTGCAGCCGCATACCAACCAGTGAGCCTGAGCATTGAAAATCAGTTACGTTGGTTTCCTCTGCATGTATTTATTGAATCAGGGAGCCCTTCTGTCAGAGCAGATGGACCGCTTCCAGCCTTTATAGCTCTGATGAATAAATCATATTCTATTCCAATAATATTCCTATAAGTATCTCTATATTGTAGAGTTTGCTTTAGATAAAATATAAACGGCATTTTACTGTAAATAAACATCATCACACTCAAATGATTAATTACCATTTTTAACTCTTCACATACGTTTTATAATCTACATTTATTTGTATTTTCATCATCATAATTTGTGTATATGATGTATGTGGATCGGGTCTGTCCTCCTCTGATGTTCTTTAACCCACATTAAAGGGTTTTTCTCATCCAAACTGGCGGTTTAAGAACAGAAGCCGACATATGTTGCGCAGACTGTAAAGCCCTTTGAGGCAATTTTCTGGGCTGTATAAATAAAGACTTGACTTACAAAAGTATCACCACAATTTATTTTAATTAATCTGTCACTTCTGGGACTTCTGTGTTGTATTTCTGGTCACTTTAATGCAGCGTTTGAGGAACTTGAGTATTTCCTTTTCATGCTACTTTAAGAGCTGTCCCAATATCGGATTTTCACAACACGACCATTGTGGCCAAAAGAACTCACGCTGACGATATTATTGCGATATCTGTAGAACATTTGAAAATACTAGAAATGTTGGGCTATCAGTCAGATTCAGAAACACCAGAGCTGTTTTATTATGTGTCAGTTCACTTCCTGCCTTTGTGTTTTCCCGCTGTTTGTAATAGTTTGGTCGGCCCTGATTGTCTGCACCTGTGTGTAATCACCTGTGGGGTGTGTATATTCCCTGTGTTACTTCCCCTCGTTGCCAGTTTGTCGTTGTTCCTCCGTGTGAAGCCTGTTTTTCCTCGTGTTGTGTGCCCTGGGTTTTGGGCTTTTCCACTGGCTTTGTTTGTTTGTCTGGATTGACCTCCTGTGTACCGAACACGTTCTCTGGCAAGTAAAGTCTGTGTATTTTTGTATCGAGATCCTGTCTCGTGTTCTGCATTTGGGTCCTATCGTTTGTGTTTTCACCTGTTGTAACATTTTTTCCAAATGAATTACGGCCACTATGTTTGAGTGTACACAAGAATGGAAATAAATGATTCAAGAGGTGCTGGATTATATGTGTATTATTGACACAATATAAATATTTAACTTTCAGATATCACAGTTATTATCGATACATCCCTTCCTACTTTACTTCTGCTCCACAACATCTCAGAGGCAAATATTTATGGATACACTCACATCACGACTGCATTAACATACTCAAGGAATTTGTTGTTTCATCATGTTTATTATTATTTTCATGAGTGTGTAACATTATTTCTCCTGCCTCCTAAACGCAGCCCCCTAAGGCACGTTTTACTGATATGTATGAAAATTAGTGTGCACATGTATTATGACGAGACACACAAAAAAGCCTCTTGGACCCATACCCCAAAGCCAACAGGAAGTCGGCCATTTTTAATTTAGTGGTCATTTTTGGTGGTTGTATTTTCACAAGCTCCTCCTGGAGAACTGATCGACTTCAAATCAGTGCAATCTAAACACCTTCACGGTCAAATGTTGTGCTATTTGTGATAGTGGCGGGGCAATGAAACAGGAAGTTGTCATAACTTCAGTGTACTTTGTCCAATCTGCACCACATTACGTTTGACAACAGTCCCACCCGGAGCATTCTTTACACATGACGCTAGTGCATAACCCGACCGCATCACGCTCCATACAGTGCACAGTAAGAGGGCCCGATTGCAGTTTTAATTAGCTTCAACAAAATGATGTCTGATTCTTTGTGAGAACAAATATTCATTTACAGCTTCTGTACAAAAAGAAACTAAAAGTTCATTTTCACCAGAGCCATCCCTGTACAGCTGTGCAGTAATATAAATACATATATATTTCCCACTTCACCACAGAGGAGACAGGAGGGTCAATCAGTCCGAGGTTAAGTGTTTAGATAATTCCTCCGTGACCCTCAAAACTATTATGTTGAGAGTGTGTGAGTGCCAGGACAATTGATAGAATGAGAAAAGAGGCTTTTAACCACAATTACTGCAAAGCATGGTCGTTCATTTTAGTGACAATGTTAAACTCAAATGTACCCGGAGCAATTTGCAAAAAACAAAGAGGAAAGACTCTTAAATAAACTGGTAGAAAGAAGCAGAAACTTTCACTCTTAGACTGTTGTTCTAGAATAAATAATACCTTCAAATGCTGCTCAACCTTTTAAAATATACATCATCTAAAGAGTGCACACTCACAGTGCTGTATCAGTCATTTAATGCTCAAGAATTGAGTTTATTAATACAATCATAGTTTCTAGTCCTAAAACCGATGAGTAGCTCCGTCTTTAAACCCAAACTCTGCCTTTCTGTTAACAGTTATTTCATCCGTGCTGGTTGCTTTGGGAGAGGAACTCATTCCCACTGTGTCTCTGTGTGTTTGTCAAACAGGAGGCCTTTTCCCCACCGGCTCCCATGAGTACGAGGTGTTTCGTTTTGCTCTGGCGCAACACCAGGACGTCCCTAAACTGGTGCCACAAGTGGACATGGTGGACACGGGGAGCAGCTTCGCCATGACCTACGCCTGTGAGTTCAGAAACCGAAGTCTTGCTGTCTGACGTTAAACTTTTCTTTTTAAATGTCACAGACATGAAAATTGATTTTTATCATGGATCCCAGACCCTGATCTGCAAAGGTTGGATTCAAACAAGCTCTGAAAAGCTGGATATTTCCTTCAGGAGTTATTAGAGACAAAAGAGTGAAAACAGAGTGAATATTACTAACTTAACACTACATTCATCGGGTGGCCGTACGCACCAATCGAAATACATAAATGATCATGTTTCTCTGTCTCTGCTGGGTGTGGATGTAGACAAATTTATACGCCGATAGTTCATTAGTGATCTTTCTGCCCTTTAATGCTCCAAAATTACTAGATTAAATAAAATAGAGCTTTTGATTCATGGAGTTTCACATATATTAAAGAGAAACAAGCAGTGTGTTTGTGCAGGAAGTTTTCTTATATATTTATACATTTCTCATATTATGCCCCTTTTCAGGGTCATACTTGTATTTGAGGGGTCTGCTATAAAAGATTTGCTTGCAACAATGATCTCATTATTGTTCTTGTACTGGCCATGGCTGCCCCTCTGTTCATCCTCTCTGTAAGAAGCCCAGTCTGCTCTGATTGGTCAGCTCCCCAGTACAGCTCCCACAGTAACTCCCTTTGGCGTGGACTTTCGGCATCATGTTTTTGTTCAGCTTCTGACTGAACTCCAGGTCTTTCTGTTATAGAGAGCCGCAGAGATGTTGTATTTGACCAATCTGGAAGTTAGCATCTTCTTGGTTCCTTTGACAAAAAGCCAACAGGATTTCAGAAAGCTTTATGATACTTACACATTTTGTCCAGCAAGACAATCTTCACAAATGAACACCAGACTAGTTCACAGGAGCACAGGTATAAATAAGATGAGGCTATAAAGACAAACTAGTGAGTAGATAAGTGTGTTCAGTGTGCTGACGTTTAATGTCACATTTAGCTACTTGTTAGCAGTTTTTAGTGCGTTCGTTTTTTAAAACACATAAAAGCTTCAAAATTCCCAGGTAGGGTATTTACTGAAGTATTTCATGTTGTAGAACAAAACTTGAAAATTTTATTAAAGACATCTAAACAAAAACCCATTGATTTCGAGAAGGCGGAACCAGAGGTGCTCAAATGCTAACTCAGTTCCTCTCTAAAGAATGAATTATTATTTCAATCAAATACTTTCAGAAAGCACTTATTATTATTGTTGTTATGTTTGTGTCCCACTGGACTGTAACATGTTTTTATTGGGTAATGACTTTAGATTTGGTGGTTAGTTGATGTAACATTAGGTGTTGTTAGTATGACATTCGACTGGGCTGCCTGAGTCTCCTCCAGGTTTGTGAAGGCTGTAGTCGCCATCATGGGTCAGTGCATAATTTTTCCATCATCCAGACTTCATTCAGCGGACTGGGGATTTAAGGAAAGGGAAATAGAAGCAACTGGAGGCAGGCTTTAAAAGAGCAGACAGCAGCAGTAAATGGACATAGACCAGAGGGAGCTCAGCACTAAATGGACTCTGGCTCCAGGGAGCGTTCAGTACAGTACAGGAGGTCTGGAGAACAATGTGCTGACCTTGTTTTGTTCCGCACAAAACGCTGCATTTACCAGCTGGCCTTATTACACCTGAATATAAATCGCCAGATATAATGACACTCAGTTCAACTGCCTTCTGTTGTAAGCCTTTATAAAGGTTGTGCTAGCAGACATATTGTTTAGCCCAACCCGCTGTGAGTGACTTAAATATGTCCTTATCTCTGCTTAAAACTACATTATAGTTTGTTATAAACTGGTTGTGTAGATGCTGCCTGAACATGTTAGATAAGGAGCATAGATCACTGCTGTCAGAGGTCTGTACTGTCTATTTAATTAATATAATAGTAACAATAATAATATTATTAATACATTTATTTCATAAGTTTAATGAATTCCAAAAATGTTATATTATTTATTATTATATATTACTTTCAGAGATAGTTAATAAAGATTTAATTTAGTCCATTTGACAATAATACTAGGCAACAGAGCTCAGGACGGATACAGGGCAGATGTCAGTGCTGTAGATACAGGTCAGAGATCTATATTGTCCATTTGATTCATATAATAGTAACGGTAATCATACTAATATTACCTTTATTTCACAAGTTTTAGAGAAGTTCAATAATTTAACACTAATTGTGTCGTTCAGCATAATTATAACCTTATTTCATATTTCTTTCCTGGAAACTTCCTCGGTATATACTGTATTGATACCGGGGATATTATAAAATTGTGGACCTGTAAATAAAGTCTTCTCCCAACATGGAGTTCTAGATGCTGCTCCAAACTGCCTGGCGATGAATTCTAGCAGTTAATACTAAATCCTGTTAGTCAAATTTAGTCTCAAAATGATGGAATTGTCCTAAAAACTAAAAGTATATAAATCTCCTCCCCAGGCTGCTCAGTGATAGGTAAGGCCCTACTCTGCATCTTTAAGATCCAAACTACATTTTGCTGCATATTAAACACAGTTTAGTGTCGTTTTGAGATTAAAAATTCATTAACAGTGCTCTCTCATTTTTAGTTTTGGGCTTTATCCAGTAGTTCAAAGCTTCATTCATAACGTTGACATTTAAATTTTAATTTAGCATTCGAATGCTGCGCAGGTCTTTTAATCAATTAGTTGTCAAAAATTTAGTTATTGAGTTTAGCTTCCCAAACGTGAATATTTTCTGCTTTCTTTAGTCCTCAGTAAACGGAATAACTTTGGGTTGTGGAAAAAAAAAGATGAGGATGTCAGGGCTGAGCTGCACATTTTCACACAAAATCTGCCAATGTGACTCTTTCTCGAAGGATTGTGCGGAGGTGTAGCCGTGTTTATTTAGAATGTAATTAAGTTTTATTTCTCTGATTCACTGCTAACGGTGCTCTCTTCATTCACTCCCTAGTTCCCTCAACCACAGCCACTGTCAACAATGGCAACCAACCAATTTTCTACCTTAAAAGACTAATCTGATTAATCACTTTGTTCAAATTGAATGATTTTCTTAGAGGGTATTTAAAATTTAATTTGGGGTTATTACATCATTAAATATGACAACACATATTTCAAACTTCATTTCGAAACCTTCAATTGAAGCTTTGAATATAAAAAAAAAAGTGCCCAACAGTGCTGCTGAATCCCAAAAAGTGCTTCCAGCTCGTGCCAGACGGTTCGCAGCAGTTCTTAATCAACAAGTGCCAGTGTTTTTGCTGAGTCATGCATACATGGGTCTTCACCTCTCATCTGACAGAATCTCTTCCTTTGATTTAGTCGGAGCAGTCTTTGTACTGCAGGAGTGTTCAGGGAGTTCAACTCAGCAAGGTGAAACATCTTGATCAGAACAGACATCAAAGGTTGATACTAACGGACACACATTACTCATTTAACTCCAGTTTACCGCTTTATTTAACCAAACACGAACGTTTTGTACTTTTTAACGAGAGACGATTTGTTCCTATTTTTTTCTTTTCAGTGCAAATTGGAGGATGCATTATAAAAAAGGTTTATATTTTTGACTGAACATAGGAGCCCAAAAAATTAACCAAGTCATAAAAGTATTAGCAACAAATATTACTACCAAGTACCAAAAGTACTCATTGTGCTAAATGACCAATTTCAGATCATATTACTGGATTATTAGTGATGTAATATAATACAAATTTATCTGTTGGTGATATTTTGCATAATTAATCTGAAGTAACAGTAGCAGTAGTAATTGTAGTAGTAGTAGTAGCAGTTGTAGTTTAGGTGTGTTCTGATTCTGCTCGATGCTGCAGGTTATTTTTCTAAACCAGACGTGAACAGAGTCTGAATGATGGAGCTGCTGCACCTGAGCTGATCCCACCTGCCCTCTGGTTACTACCGACAAACCCCCCTCTCTCTGTCTATCTCTGTCTGTCTGTCTGTCTGTCTTTTGTTTGCCCTTTTCATTTTGTCTCCCTTTGTCTTCTCCTGTGAAGCTACCTGTCCGCATTTCTATTTCTGTCTGGCTTACTTATTTCATCTGTCTCTCTTTGTCTTTTCAACTTAAAGCAGAACAATTTGAGGAAAATATCTAGCAGTGATTTGCTGATTGAGAATATGATTGAAATAATAACCTCTGGGTTTGTATTGGTAGTCCAGGCAGTAAGATATCAGACTAACGCTGACAGGGACAGAGGACAGGACGGATATAGGGCAGAGGCCAGTGCTGTAGATCCAGGGCAGAGGTCAGTGCGGTTCAGTTTTTCTCCCTGGAAACTTACTAGATAGATACCTTATTTAACCTCTGTCTTTCTATTCGTGGTCCAGGCAGTAAAATCTGAAATTTTACCGCTGTTCTTATAGCTGTCATGCTCAGCGATGTACTGTAATTTTCGTCCATATAGTATTTGCACAAAATAATAAACAAAATAAACTCACAAAACATCAAGAAAGAAACATTGATTTTCCTCTGTAAACAGAAAAATACAGGTGAACTTAATTTAAGTTTCTATTTTTTACTGAACTAATACCAGCTTAACTGCCTCGTTAAGTCCTTGCAAAAGACACTTCATTCAAACTCAACAAAATAAAACTAACCAAAGCAGTCTTTATTAGTCTTTTCACTGTTCTAACAATCACCAACTCTGCTGTCTAACCGAGTTAGATGTGAAAATATTCTGTCTCCTCGCACTGTCGCTGCCTCTCCGATGCCCAACCTCCCTCTCGCCCTTCTCCTTCTTCACCCCCTATGTCAGAGTCTTGGTCAAAATAAACCCTTAATTCACAGAGCTAGATGTGAAATATTCTGGTTCTACAACAGTTTTTTCTTTCACTGTTGCCTCACTCAGTGTGTGATGTTACATTGCTGTTGAGAGAGAGAGAGTCTGGAGCTGAGCAGCGGCTCTCATTCTTTGGAGGTAGACCATTAAATTAGCTAAATAATATGACAATAATTGCCCGAGAAATCAGTCAAAAAAGCAACCGCAACTGACTTGATAGCAGATATAATCGTCCAAT